CACCTCAATATTATTTTTATCTCGTTAATTTTAAATTCCCAGCTAGCTTTGACTAGGTAAACACCAATTCATAAATCCTTAATTGTCTGTCATAATATCATAGAACGCATAGAGTGTTATTTGATGTAATTAAAAGTTTACGTTAGCTAATATTAATAAAACACTAAAGTGGCAAAATCATTAAGTCACACCACAAAATATTATTTATTGTAATAATATTTTGTGTTTTTTTTTTAATATACCCCTTCAACAACCTTTTTTTTATTTTTTTTTCAATTCATCCTTCATTGTTCGGAGATAACTTTTTAATTTTTTTTATAACTTTTTAATTTTTTTTGTTAGGTTTTATGCCGATTACATGAATTTAATTTTTTTTTTCAATTTCAACCTTTTAATACTAGATCTGTTAGAAGTGAGGTTTTATAATTTTTTTATTTATTTTCAATAAATTTATCTCGATCTCATAACTTAGATTATGAGTTTAATGGGTTAACTTAGGTTGTTTGTTTGGGTTGTTTTTTCTAATTGATTTATTTTTTACTTTATTCTTCAATTTTGAATTGGTTGGAAATTGCTATAAGGAGAATAAGTCAATCCCCTTCACAGAGAGTAGTGTTATTGCACTATAGAGGCTAGGTTAATCCATTCCATAAAAATTATAAAATTATTTCCCTAAGAAGAACAAGTCAATCATTTCTTAGAAAATATATCTTGGAGACATTATTTTTATTTTAAAAATAAATTTACATTCCTATTAATAATTATACATTATGAAATTATCTAAATAATAGGTATGAGAGAGGTTCTTAAGAGAAACATGTCTTGAAGGTGGCGTTATAATGCTTGCTTTGACTATTCTGATAGCTTTAAATAGGTGATCTTATTTTGATTCAATGGAGTTATAAATCATTAGGATACACTAAATACTCATGGGTTAATCCTTTATGGTTCTTCCTTGATCTTTTCTTTTTACTAGGAGAATGATTTTGTTTAGAAAGTCCTTCATATTGGTTGTCCTTGTAAAAACAAAAAGATCCATATCGTATCAAACTGGCCTCTTCCACCTATATGTGATTTTTCATAACTTAGTTCGCTTTGAGCAAGCTTTTGTCTATGAAGGCATAAAGTTTTTTTCATGTGACATATTTTTTGATTAGTACTTAAAAGTGCATTTCTCCATGTGACATGTTCTTAATTAGTACTTAAAAGTGCATTTTTATCAATGTTTTATATTATTATTTTACACTTGAAATATCAATAACTCCCTAACTAAAGCATGTTTTATAATACAAGTCTAATACCATAAACTACCTTTAATTTGTGGTAAATGTTTATTTTAAATGCAGGTCTATCATAAATAAAAGGATTGATTGATGAGTTAAAATATTAAAATTGAAAGGACAAAAAGAGGGTCAAACTTAGAAAAAAGATGCTCACGCAGTCCAAACTTGAACATTGTTTAGTAATTGGGTCATATCTGGAGCTGTAGATCTCAGATTTTGGTCTGCTTTATATGGATGGAAAGCTAATACATAAGCCTAAAACTTTCATGGAAGGCAAAACTCAATTCTACTATTTAGAAGTCTAAATCTTAGCAACAACAAAAAAATTTGAATCTATACTACAATCCATACACTATTTAGTGTTTAGCCCATATCTTGAGTTCTAAAAGTTTAAATGACCTTAATTTTTTTCCTAGAAAGTTGAGATGATTTTCTAGAACTTTCATGAGTGAAGTTGGTTCAAATTCTAACATTATCAATGACGTTTTATTCAGATGAGAAAATAAGGATTGTCACCAAGTCAAGAGTTGGCCACCACTTAACAATTAGTCAACAAATCAATAGTTTCTAATTTTGGCGTATAAAATAAGGCATTTTCCATGTATTTAGGCATTTTCCATACATTTAAGCATCTTGGTTTCTAGATCAAGATCATGCTCTTGCTTTCTCTCTTTGTATTTTTGTAATGCTTAAGTTTTACTTTTATTAATATCTTGTTTAAGCCTTTCATTTTCTTTCCTTTACTTAATTACTTTCCTTTACTTAGTTAACTTTTATCTTATTTATGTTTTTATCTTATTTATTTATATTTCTCTCTTTTATTATGTTTAGTTAAGTTTATAATATTAAAGTGAAAAAGGTTACCCTAATGGTGTAAAAATAAGTATAGTGTAAACTCAATATGGACTTTAATATTTGATACTAACATGTTTTGTATTTGTTATCTTGTTCACTTTTAATACTTTGTTTATTAAATGGGTATTTTAGATTTGTATTGTATAACATTTGGTACAACAAATACTTGATACTTTCATAGCCCAACCGTATGGTATAACCGACACTTGTGTTATGAAAGGAACTTGATTTGTTATTAACATAAGTTATAATTATGAAAACCTGATAATATTTACAAGTATTAGCATTATTCAAATAAGATAACTAATGTAATCATGTAATAACTTATAATGCGATTGGAACCTCCTTTGTATGTGGTTTTTAATTAAGTAATAAAAAAATTTATATTATACTTGTTTGAAATACCATTAGTGGATCTTTAACCTTGACATTTGTTTTTATCATTGTTT